CCCCCCCCCCCCCCCCCCCCCCCTGCCGTCCCCTTCTCCCCTTATCCTCCTCTTCCCCTAGTGGCTGTTTGGCTACGTAAAAAAAAACCACAGAAAAAAGGAAATACGACGAAAGATATGTTACAAGCTAGTTTTTTACAGTAAGAACCAGTAATCTGCTACATGAAGTATCAAGGTTTTTTTGTAAAAGTCAAAATTGGTCAAAACCGGGTAGTGGTAATTAATGTCAACAACGACCAACTAGTGGCAACGCTGTCGATGGCTACTTCTTTCAAGGATTGCTTAGAAACAAGCTAGTGGCGGGTTTGACTCCATGGCATATGTCAGTACCAATTTACCAGCGAAACCAATGAATGAGTTACAGAGAGCTTGGTTTTCGCAACTGCGGATCGAACCATATCTAGACCTTCTGCACAACGACAGCGCTATTCCCCATTCAGCCATGGCGAGGCTCTATTTCTTTCTTTACTAATTACTTGTCTTTTCTAAGTTATAAAAGTTTGTACTCTGTTCAAATTAACTTAAAATTGAGCTCTAAAAACCCACCGAACAATTGGTTCAAGCTCGCGATTATCGACAAATGCTACACTAGTTGCTGCTAATCCAACAACTGATCTGTAAAAATGCAGTACGATTTTCCAAAAAAAAAGCATATCCACTTAAAACTAAGCCAATCAGTTTTATCCACAAGCAGAGTAATTATGACGATTTTGTCTTTCAGCAGTAGATTCAGAAAAAAGCTAAAAACTGCAATTCACACTGACAACTTTCCAACGAATGAAGAAAAAAGTCAGAGAATCTGGCTTTTTCCAGAGACAGATTTGGACTACAGATGCTTATAGCGTCGTCCAAAAATGTTAAACCCATGCAGCAGCTAGGGAATGCTGCCACCGGCTAAATCATCTTTTTTTTTTAGGAAAAGGCATGATTTATCCAAATCTTTGTGCACTTTTCTAGACCTCCATCCCCTCCCCAACTCCGCACATCCCCGCCCATCACGGTGTGTTATATTTAAAATACGCCTCATACAGAAGACGTATGGAAATCATTAGACTTAAATTATCTAAACAACTGGAAAAAATAAGGTTTGACTTCAAAAAAGCCTCGTGACCAAAAACATCGTAAATTATTGCATTAATTCTGTAATATTTCTTTTTTTGAACAAACCCAATGACATGTCCTGATCGGTGAATAACTATACTAAATTGTATCGTGAAAGAACACGATAAGTAATACACTGTCCCTTAATAAAAAATGAATTTTTAGTCGAGATCACTTTAAAAAAAAAAGATCACTTACTTCGTTTTTGATAAGTTATAACGGTATTTACATAAAACATTTTCGACTTGTTGATTTAGCGATAGGAATTCCGAAGCCAACTGAAATTTGCGCAAGGCCAAATTGTTCAGTTCTTTCTCGGCCTCCTTCATTTACCTGAATTCGCTGAATCGAAGAATTTCTACAAGTTAAATTTCCAGAATACATGCTCCCGCAATTATTTTGTTCACTTATAAATCATTGCAATGCACCCAGGGTGCAGAACAGGCAATCATTTTTTCTTGTTTTTGGATCACGAGAACCAAAAGAATCGGTAAATTAAGGCAATGCTATGGGGAAATTTGATACCGTCTTGATATTTAGAAACATTTATCTGCAAAAATAAGTGAACAAACCATGAATACCGGATTCAGCGTTAAAGTGGCGGAAAAAAAAAAGCATATCGTATCCAAGCACAGAAGAGAGAAGGGACTTTCTAGGCCCAAGCTGAGAGTGCATCCTACCTTCATGGAAACTAGGTACGTCGTTACGACAGGGTAAGGCTGGCGGACAAAGAACGAAAAGCATAATTTAAGAGTACGTAATCCATTCCAAGAATACCAAAACTCCCCGGGCAATCGTCTGCAAGGATCTGATATTTGCGATTTTACTGAGATGCAACCACTCGTATTGCGCATCTATGCCAAGCCCTGCTTGTTACCACTTCGTAACTCACGTCAATAGCTATAGCCTCGAATAAGCTGTAACCTAGTGGTATAGTTCCTCAACTATGTATTTCCTGTTGCTCTGACCAATGCTGCACTGCCTCACGGTCAGTCTGTTGGCGATTCTGATGTGTGTTTTCATCGAAGCGATTGTCCGCTCAAAGATTTTTCCGACAAAAAAAACTTGCTAAGACTTCAGCCGTTCTGAGATGTCTTTGATGTCCCTGTGATGATCATTAACATCTTATCCCAAAAGCTGCCGCTCACAGGCGTTAGTGAGATTTCTGACCATTTTAGGGTCAATTAATAAAAATATCCAGCACAGCAACCAAACAATTTTCAGAGTCATACTCCGTAAACACTTTCAGGATGTAATCCTTCGATGTAGTTTCATAAATGGAAAATGACAAAATTCACAAAAAGAAACTTTATGGTTGAATTAACTAAATAACACAAATTTTAAAATATTAACATCAAACTTGAACAAAAACACAGTTACGAATTAACAGTGGCGTATTCACAAGCTAGGAGTGAGGAAAGGCTAGCAATGAGAATATCTAAAAACCGATTAACTTAGCTCAACGTCCCTCACCAGGCCAAAAAGCAAATGGTGTCCGTTTAGCTAGCGAAAAACGCCATTTCTAGTACTCACTTTATTTCCTTTTTTTTTTTTTAAAATAACTGTAGTGGAGATAATCAGAAATTTTCTCAAAATGAAACAAATCAAGCAGCAATGAAAACGAATCAACAAACAGAAGGAACGCAAAAATCCCGGATAAAAAAGCTGCGTAGCAGAGGTTTAAAAGAATTTTGTAAAGCGTGTTTAATTAAAAAACGGTATGATGATTTGATAAAGGGGGAGAGCAAAGATTTGGAAGATGACTGAAATTATGAATAGATGTATCAAGAACTCTATACTAGGAAAGATTATTAAAATTTTTGGTCTTTTTGTAGAGCAGTGAAATATGCAAAACGCATAAAAATCATCCCACCAAATGGCTGGGAATGTTGCAACAATAAAAAAACTAAAGGTCTTACTTTTCTAAGTTCCTCACAGCTAAAACCGTTTTGAAGAAAACAGCATGCACTACTATCCAGTACCAAGTGATGACTGTGGTGATGATTAAGGGTATTAGTTAAAATATACATGTGTAAAGTGCGGGGAATCTGCCGCTTCACTAACATAGTATCAATTAATGACGAACCAGCAGTTGCAGCTCTGAATCTGCAGTGATTACTTCTACAGATTTAGGCCTATCTGCGGACGCCAAAGTCGTCATGCTGTGGCTGTCGGACGCAGCTCGCGCAAAACTTTATCACGTTAACAACAAAATATGTGTCAACAAAAAAAAAAAAAAAAAAAAACACTGGGAAGCAGGCACAGCACAGTGCGATCCGAGAGTGGAGCAGAAGTCGGCGCTGCCCGTGCAACGCTGGGGACAATCGATGAACAACAGTGCACTTAGTGTGCACTGGGGGAGGCACATTACCGTCCCCTAACGGTATGCCAATAATAATGAGCACAAGAATGCACGTCAAGTGCGCAAAAAACAAAACGCAACATACCCAATATTTAAAAAAGAACGCAACGAACCCAGGATCAGCCCGGCAGCAGCTCCAAGCTGATACTGGACACACGCGATAGTTTCAAGCGGCGGCAGCTCCAAGCTGCCGCCGCGCACTTCTAGCTTAAGCTAAACACAACAATTACAATAACAATTTCATTTCCAGCCGTCATATTAAATATCACGGA